AAACAAGCTCTTAGAGCTTGGTATCAAAGACTCACTAACTTCTTACTTGAAATACAATTTACTAGAGGAGAAGCAAACAAAACTCTATTTGTTAGAAGAACAAATAACCATATCATTATTGTACAGATATATGTTGATGATATCGTTTTTGGTTCTACTTGTGCTAATCTCTTACAGTCTTTTGTAGATTCTATGTCTCACACTTTTGAAATGAGCATGGTAGGAGAGTTGAATTACTTCCTAGGACTCCAGATCAAACAAAGAGGTGAAGGAATCTTTGTAAATCAAAAGAAGTATGCTCTAAATCTGGTCAAAAGGTTTGAGTTGGAGTCAGCCAAGCACATGAAAACTCCAATGGGTTTAAGTCAAAAACTGTCCAAGGATGATGTTGCTGAAGATGTTGACAGCACCCTCAGAAGCATGATTGGAAGTCTTTTGTATCTAACTGCAAGCAGACTTGATATTATGTTTAGTGTTTGTGTGTGTGCCAGGTATCAAGCTAATCCCAAAGTTACTCATCTTAAAGATGTGAAGAGGATTATTAGGTATGTTGCAGGTACAGTAGACTTAGGCATTCAGTTTTTCAAAGACACTAATACAAATTTGATAGGTTTTAGTGATTCTGATTGGGCTGGGGATATTAGTGACAGAAAAAGCACATCAAGTGCATGTTTCTTTTTGGGAACAATCTGGGTTCTTGGTTTAGTAGAAAACAAAATTGTGTATCACTTTCAACAACTGAATCAGAATATGTAGCTGCTGGAGGATGTTGTGGTCAACTAATTTGGATGAAACAAATGTTGGGGGATTATGGGTTAACCAGTGACACCCTGACCATTTATTGGGATAATTCAAGTGCTATTGATATTTCAAAAAATCCAGTTCAACACTCACGAACTAATCACATAGATATTAAACATCATTTTATTCGTGATATAGTTGAGAAAAATATCGTGTGCTTAAATTACATTCCTACAGAAGATCAGCTGGCTGACATCTTTACAAAGGCATTAGATTATGAGAGGTTTTCTAAACTTAGAAAATCTCTCGGGATGTGTACTCAATAAACATGTCCTGAAATATGTTGCAGCACCTCACCTAATATCTTAAGCTGCAACATAATTTATTGAAGCTTAGCTTCTTTACATAATGACTTCACTGTGATAGATTATTCTCTAAATAAGTAACTCGAAGTCTTTCACCTTCAAACGTGATCATGCTTCATGTAAACATTCATAGAACAATTATAATCACATAAGTCAAACTCCTCTATTTTGATAGTCATATCTTAGTAACTGAGGAACCTTCAAACTGAATACTTGATCATGTTCCATGTGAATTGTTTGACTTGAAAATAAAAGTTTAAAATATATATATATATATATATATATATATATATATATATATATATATATATATATATATATATATATATATAATAAAATCTATGCCTGTTAGCCAATTTTTTCACACTATTAATCATTAATAGATGTGTTTTTATTTTTTGTGAATTTCGTGAGTGCTACTGTTATTATTTTTATAATTATTATTATTATTGAATTATCACTATTTATATGGGTCATGGGGTACATGGGTTAGTCTTTTATCTTCCACTAAGTTCACTCCTTATTGTGCCATGTGTCACGTTTTTGCTTTAAACTGCCAAATAAACCTTTATTCCCCTTAATCACACTTTCTCCAAGAATAACGCACACCACTTCTTCACCTTCTCCACTTCATTTTTTTTCAGCAAAAATTAGGGCTTATAAATTTCGTGCTTCTTCTTTCGAAAATTCACACTCAAAAATCAAAAGCACAAGAAGCATTTTTTTCTTTATCTACTGTATCATGGCATCTCCTCCTAGAAATCCTCTTCCAGTCGATGGTGATGTCCACAACGATGTTGCAGCACCTGAACCAACAGACCCGAATCTGGCCATCATAGTTCATCCTGTCAACCTTGAAGCTATGTCGATCAATTTTATTGAGCCAGGAGACGAGCTGAATGTGATTGACCCACACAACTTCGAGTACGTGGGTCCCTCTTCCACTGCAGGAAGGTTTCCAACTCGTCGGTCCAAGCGCATGAATCCCTTCCCAGATCTGAATACTGCTAGGTCACAACGCCGGAGGGGGGGAAACTCTCCCAGAAGAGGAGGCATAGGTGGAAGAAGAGGCGACAGAGGTGGCCGTACTCCAGTTAGGCCAAACCCACCAAGAGGTCTTCATTTGGTTGATGAGGACACAGATGATGAAGAAGGAGATCCTACCTTTGCAGAACCAGAAGCCCAAGCTCTCTCCTCAAGCTCCACTGAGTCATCGTCCAACGACTCACCTCCACCAGCATCAACTCAGAGGAGGACATCTCAGCCTAACATGGCAGCAGCAGCTTCTCAACATCCTGCTTCTGAAGATGTTGCTGCACATGTTCCAGAAGATGCAGCTGCACTCACTGTCTCAGCCAATGCCCCTCAGAGTGCTAGAGTGCTGCTAAGGATGTTGCTCCATATCAAGATGAGGAAATGCCTGATTTTTCTGGGATGTCTTCTGCTGAGCATGTAGACATTCCCACTGTTGATGCCCAGGATTTCACTACCACTGAAGAAACACCCTCAGCCCCACATGCAGACCCTCTGGAAACTTTGGCAGAGGCAGCTGTTCAAGTGGATGCATCACCTCCTCAGGTTGAAGAAACAGAGAAAAGTGATGACAGCTGGGAGGTTCCCCTTGCATCCTTCCGAAAAAAATTGCCATCCTCAAAGTCAGACAGTGACTCTTCTGAGGAATCCTCTCAGAAGGAAGAAGATGTTGCCCCACCTGTTGCATCACCTGAGCCAGCATACATCCCAGATGAGCTTGAAGACTCAGAAGATGAGGAATCCTCAGAGAAAGAAGAGCCAGACTTGGATGGAAAGGATTTGTCAACCCCTTTTGAGGTAAACAATGCCTTCAGTCCTACTTTTTATTTTGAATCTGATTGAAATTTGAGTCCTCAAATCATGAATTGCCAATTCATTGAGGAAAAGAAAATTTCCAAGGATGAGTTTGATAGACATAGGATCACTGCTTTTCTTGATCAAAGAAAAATCCTTAGTCTAGTTGAGGTTGCTTGTCCTTATGATCCTTCTGTTGTGAAGGAATTTTATGCCAATTTGCAAACCTCCTTTTTAAAGAAAAATTCTCCAAACTTTGGCAAAGTTTTTGTGCGAAATTTTATTTTCTCTTTTTCTCCCAAAATTATCAACTTTCATTTACAAACTCCTACTGTGATTGATGAGGATAATTATGGTGATTTTACTGAGGTTTGTAAGACTCTTTCTGGCAATCGTCTAAAATGTTGGCCTGCTCACCCCAGAAAATTCAAAGTTTCTCAACTCACTGCATTCTATTCTGTTTTGTTCAGACTCACAGTGATGAATTGGATTCCATCCAAAAATGTCTCTATGGTAACTAAACCTCATGCAGTACTCATGTACAAATTGGGGATGGGATTACCAGTTGATTTTGGAAAGCTTTTCTTTAATAATATAGGTCATCTTGCCCAGAAAATTTCCTCCACTCATCTTCCTTATCCTTCTCTCATCTACTCCATTCTACTTTCTCAAAATTTGGGCCAAGATGAATCAGAATATCTTCACACTCCACTTGGCATGATCACTGTTTCTCAAAATTTTCTAAAATCTCCTCATGTCCTAGATCTTCCCTGGAATGAATATAATTTCCTCTCAACTGAATCATGTCAAAATAATCTTAGTACTGAAGGTGTTGCTCCTCATGTTGACAACATCCCTAACATTCTTGTTTCTGTTCCTAGAGATCTCTTGTTACAACAGCTTACTCACTCTCTAGCTCAGATTACTTATCACCAGTCCATGGTGGAAATGCTTCAAAAAGCTCTTTCTGATCAAAAAGGGGGAGAAAAAACTAGTCATGAAGTTGAAGCAGGAACTTCTCATCCTTTGGATGCCAGAGGCAGAGAGCAAGGAGTTAATGAAGAAGGAGCAAAGAATGAGGGTGAAGCTCAAGGAGCAGAGAAAAGCAGTGGATCCAGTGCTGATGATGGAGGAGCAGCCGCTGATACTGAGGAGACTTTGGATATTCTACTTTAATTATTTTTATGAACAATATTTGATTTTGTTTTGTTTTTATTTTCCCTCTGAACTTGTGTTTAGGACTGCACTTTGGTTGTTTCTTTTCTTGTGTTGGACTATCTTGATGAATTTGTTTTGAATTGATTTTTATATATTTTGTTTATTATCAAATTCAGGGAGAGTTCAAGAAATGTCTCAGGGGGAGTTTTTAACTAAAATTTAGTTTTGATCAGAATGTTAAAAAGGGGGAGTTTGAAACACGTTGGTTTTCTACAAAAGTGTTTTTAACTCTCTTACTTTCAAACTAAATTTTAGTTATGACTTAGTGGGCTAAGTGTTACGACTTAGTGGGCTAAGTAGTGCTTAGTGAGTTTAATTATGGATATTATTCTAACTCCTTAAACTAACCCACTAACCCAATTTTCTTGAGTGCTCTTGTGGTTGGTTTTCTTGCAGATCATGGGCTGAGTAGTGGAAGCTTGGGAAGTCTATAAATACCAAACTCAAGACTCAAGAAATAAATAGATTTTGAAGAAACAAAAACCGAGTGCTGAAGTTTATCTACGAGAGTTTTAGTGTGTTTCTAAAATCTGTTTGTACGTACTTCTCACGAGTACATTCTTTGAAATCTAGAATTTTTAATATTTCTCTTTTTGTTTCTAGATTTGAATGTAAGAATGATCATGTTATTGATTCATTCATAAGGAAGAAGTTTTCGTACATCTTCTATTTGTATTCTTGGAATACTGTTTTTAATATAATTTTTCCATCCTGTAAAGGGCATGTTTACAAGTTTTTACTTGTGAACATATTTATATCGAGTACTGTCTTTATATATTTATATTTCTGCTGCATGTTTTCTCAAGTGTCATAACACTTAAGATAACATATTTGTATTAAACGAATTCGGGACCATAAATTCTTTCACCTATCTTTCATGTAAAATGCAAACATAATGACAACAACCATAAAGTGCAAAACAAATAATTGGAAGAGAGTACAGACACAAATCATTTTGTGTTCTTTCACTTAAATCTGCAAGAACTTAAAACAACCGTTAAGATCGCCGCCTACATTCATAACCAACAAAAATTAACAGTCATCGATAATAAATATTTATCCATGCAAAAAAGGCATTTCTTGAGCGTGTTCTTTCACACGTCCATTGCTTCCACCAAAAACACGTTCAAAAAACTAATCAATAATAATCGTCTTCGTCGTCATCAATATCAACATCATCATCATCATAGTCATCATCAGACCAAGCCAATGCATTTAAATCAAAAAAGAGCCTAACCTTCTCGATTATTACGGAATGCTCCACCCTGCAAAATATGTAAACAGTCTGGTCATGTTGATGACAAAAAGCTGCTACTGAAAAATAAATTAAAATAAAAAAACCAACACGATATGTTCTTGAGCCACCGTCATCCACAAAGACCGGTATAAAGAAAGAAAAAAAGAGAGAAAAAGAAAGATGGCAACTCGAGAATTTAATCAATCAAACAAGTGCAACACTAACATAAGCTTCGGATAAAAATGAACTTCAACTCTTAATTTCAATAAAATATCAACATAATTTTTTGAACTAATATCATAGTAGAAATCAGGTTCTTACTATCTCGGCCCTACCAATTATCAACAGCTATTAAAAATAGCAGTTTGCTGCTACAGCCACATCATATCCCAAGTCACAATAATGTATAACTTTTCAATATCGTACAAAATCATAAATTTAAAGGAAATCTACACTTACATAATTCTTCAATATCATTCAAAAACAAATAGAGCATAATTCAATTGGAGTGTTGATAACATGTTCCATTATTTAAAAAAAAAAAAAAAAGGACGAATTGATGTTCAGCAAATGTGAATTAAGCAAAATATATAGACAAGTAAGTCAAACAACGAAAGCTATCCATTATTTATTGCACTTTAGAAAGCTAAGCAATCGATCATATATCCAAATCACATGTACTCTGCCCATTGGAACTTATAAAAGGCAAAGCAAAGTCATTTTGATTAGCAAAAAAATATATAGCCCCTGAAATGAAGTATATAATGATTCGGGTACTTCAAATTATATAAGCATATAGTGCTCCGGATGAGTCTGCATCACTTTAAGCTCTATTGTATTCCAAATATAAGGAATTATTTTACATCAACTAAAAGATCGGAAAGTTCTCCTCCAGGTTAAATAATATATCCTCGTCCACATAGAAATATTTGAAAACAACAACAATACTCAACTATCAAATAACATTAGACGGAATACGGAAAAACGTTTCGGCTAGCAGAATTTGAAAATATGCAATCCTAGAATCAGCTAAACAACAGAAGCTAATCTAATCAATTCGTGTGTGTGTGTGTATATATATATATATATATATATATATATATATATATATATATATATATATATAAATATAAAGAAGGGTATAGGTGGAGTAGATATTCACCTAGCTTGAGGCTTGATCGTCGGCTTCCCCATCCTCTTCCTTTTCCTCTCCCTCTTCATTGCTGCTTTACTTTTCACATCAACAGCAAAACTACGACCCAATCGAAAAAGACTTTGCGGCATAATTTGACAATAGAAATTACTCGGGAGGCCACTAACAGTAACCATCTTGGCAGAATTACTCTGAATATCGAACAATAAAAAATCGTCAAAATTCTGCAGAATAACGAGCCCTTTGCTCTTGATATAAGCAATAGGTGTGAGGACATCCACATCCAAAAGAAAATCTTCGGTAAACGAAAACAACTTGGTCCACGACTTCTCCACTCCATAATCATTCATCACCCATCCCTCCACTAGTTGACCTACCTCCATTGGATTGCCGTTGCAGTCGTAGTAACTCATGAATAAGAATCCACCCAACGCTTTTAGACTCGGTAAAACAGATTCCCCTGGTTTTGTAGGCATCGGCAGTTCTCTGTAATCTTCAGTTCCAAGAACAAGCACAACTATTTTATTCTCCAATACCCAATGCAATGCCCCATTCAGAAAAACACCCGGCCGCCTATGACCGGGAAAATCGTAAGGGCAATCCTTAACCATCCTCCAACAATTCATTTTCAGACTATAAATGCTAGTTTGGTGAACGGTTGTTGTACTGTCGGTAGTGCGCATTCGATCTATCCTCACAACTTTGAAATCATCGGAAGAACAATCGTACCCAATCCCAAGACAAGCTAAGCTCGACTCGGCATTGGGTTTGGTTTTGAATAGGGGCAACTCGTGGAACTCGCGGGTTAACGGGTTCCATACAACCCATGCCTTATCAATTTCGTAATAGTGGGAATTGAGAATCAGACCGTGGCAAGAGGGCGCCGGCAAATTAGGTACGTCGGTGGCGCCTGATCGGGAGAATGGTTTGACGGCGGTTACTTCAATGGTTTGTTTGGATTCGTTGTGGTTTAGGGTATCCAAATTCAATGAGTAGAGGAGAGTGTTGGTGGTTGAGTTTCTGATGAGGAGAGTGTTGGAGGAGATTTGAGTGTGGGCATGGATTCTGACGAAGGATGGATCGTCGATGATGCGGCGCCACTCCTTGCAGACTGTACGGAATCGCAAGAGGGGCTCGCCGGTGACTCGCCGGAGTATTTCTTTTAACAGATCGGAGGGGATGTCAGACATTTTCGGAGCAGCAAACAAATTGAAATTCAAAGAAACATGGTGTGGAAGTTAGGGTTTGGGGATTTGTGTAATTAATTATAGCTGCGTCCCTCTCATTTGGACTTCATCCATACTTTCCCCCTCCTTTTTATTTTTAAATTTTGCCTTCAAAGCACTAGGTTATAAATTGTTCATATTTCATTTCATACGTAAAATTTGACAAAACCCATTAGATATGTGCAATTAAGATGGACCCAATTTCTTTTTTTTTTTTTCTAATTTTAAGGTAAATTCAAAATATTTTTTAATAATAAAATTTAATTATGTTTCACTATCGTATCTTATGGTTGGAAATTAATATTTTCTTCATATTTAAATTTTCACGTTGTCACATTAGCAAAGATAACAATTTCACAAATCTCGGTCGTTAATTTTAGACGTACCGTTGCGTGAAAGTGGGAGTTTGAATTTCAAAAACGACTCCACGCTAATGTGATCTGAGTAGCGGAGGCGGCGTCTGATTCTACAGAGTGGTTTCTACAAATTATCGTGCGAATTTCAGTGCGTATTGATGTGGAGGACGACTGGCCTGCTATAGGCAGTGAGGATAAGATGATTATGTTGAATCATTTAAGGAGTTGATGTCATTTTCTTTTTTTTTTTTGTTCCAGCTCTTTGGATTGAAGTGTTTTTTTTTTTTTTTTTTTTTTTTTTTTTGAAATATAGTTCTTATGTTTTATTTAAATTTTAAAGAATTATTGTACCAGCTTGATGGTTACAAACTTACAGTAATGTAATTAGATGTGTTTTGTCCTATTTGTGTATTGAAGCATCTGTCTCTTTTGTGTTTGTAAATTGCGTGTGAATCCTTCTTTTAATGCAACTTTTTCCTTCGTCTTATGTACGAATTGTTAAACTAAAGTGTTGAAAATGTAATTTTCGAATTTTCAACATAATTGTGGATTATTATTTGTGTCTCAAAATCGAATTTTCAACATAATTGTGGATTATTATTTGTGTCTCAAAATCACAATAGTAGGTAGGATTATGATGTACAAAAAGATATTTTGAAAAACACTATATTAGTAATGCAATAAGAAAAAAAATTACAATGATGTCTTTAAGTATTGTAAATTACGATGTAAACCTTATTAGGCTAATCATGTTATGAACAATAGTATAATGAGAATAATATAATGAGTGAATAAATCGAATCTTGAATAATGACAAGATCAAATAAGAGGGTCTTTGAATAAGATCTTTTTTTAAAAATACATCTACGAATCTACCCTACCTTTTTATTTAAGATCTTATAATGATTGAAAATAGGAAATAAGTTTATTATCCAGGCACTCCAAAAATTAATCATAAAAATAAGATGCAACAGTTTATCAGCTCTTAAAACATCTTATCAAACGTAAGAGTTTATCAGCTATTTAAAATAAGCTTAGTCAAACACCCTCTAAGACATAAACAAACACAATAATTCATCCCTCAGAACTTGAGTTCTTTTGCGTATCAAAAAGATAAAAGATATGAAGGAGAAATTTTAGGAATAAATTTGCAACTGGTTCAAATCTTCAAGAATGCAAATCAAGTTTTATTTATTTTTAATTAGTAGATAACGCAATAATGATTCTATTAAACTCGTACGCATACTATATTAAAAAGTTGAGTACAAGGCAATTAAAAAGAGTCACAAAATGATTGTGACAGTCATTATTAAAATGGCGGCCGTTATATGCAAGCCCATTTTTTTATTAGTTCAAAATCACATAAAAGAGTTTATTAGTTCAAGCCCGTAAATTAATCTAATTTTATTACATCAAGATCAAAAAATGACAAATATACCCTTATCCACAAATAATACTCAAATACAAATAAATCTTATTTTTAATTTGTTCAAGACCAGAAATAAAAAAAAAAAAGAAGAAAGAAATAAAACAAAACAAAAAAGAAACATCACGACTGCCAAATATTAATCTATGCTAAATATGTATGAATGAACATTAATTTATGCTTATTTCTTGTTGGGTTGCAATGATTTGGCCGGTTTTGGAAAAAAAATTGAGATTGAAATTGGTTTTTTTATTTTTTTTCGTTGATTTCCCGAATCGGTTTATCCAGACCGATTTTGTACACGAAAATCGGCGTCATAATACCGATTTTTGTTAACCAAATCGGCGACACAACGTCGACTTTACAAGTCAAAATCGGCGTTATAATGTCGATTATTGAGTACAAAATCGGTTTTCGAATACCGATATTTTTTGAATTTTTTTTTTTAAATAATACATTATATATTTGGTTAATTGATATTTTTTTAAATATTTGAAACGAAAATGTTTATCACCATTCGGTGACGTCTACCACTTCTTTAACCCAATCGAGTAGAGCTTTCCGTATCTCAAATATTTATTCGTTAAATAATTCATTTGAATAATCCTCCATCAATCCCCTAGGTTGATGCACGAAAGTATGAGAAAACGGTCTTAAAAAAACACAGATAATAAAATCGGTATTTAAAAACCGAATTCTGTAGTACAAGTCGGCATAAAAATACCGATAATACAAAAACAAATCGGTGTATGTTGTCATGCCGATTTTTACTAAAAAAATCAGTTTTTAAGTACCGATTTTTATTAAAATAATCGGAATGTGGTTACCGACTTTAGTAACAAAAATAGGTATTTGCAGACCGATTTTTGGTATCGTCGAATTTTTTGCCCAACAAAAAAAAACGACTCAAAAGCAAAAATAAACGGTTAAAACATATTTCATTGTGTTCTCCACCCTCGTAAACCACCATATCATTGTTTTTTGGTTCCATCATGAATGTTTGGTATGTATTTGATAATTTTGGTGTGTAGGATTTCTTGGTGGGTTTGTGAAGAAGAAGGGGAAGAAGGAGGAGAGTTTTAAGTTGTGAAATAAGGAAGAAGGGTTTTTGGATTTATGTATTTTATTTAGTCTTGCACAAAAAAAATGATTTTTTTTATTTTTTAATGCTTTGTTTTTTTTGTTTGATTTTAAATTTTATTAAGGGTAAATTAGTATTTTTATATTGGATGTCTTGAACTAATAAAAAAATGGACTTGCATATAACCGCCGCCTACTAAAATATAATGGTATTGGTGATATATAGGCCTTCCTCAGTAATTGACCTCGTGATTTATACACTACACAAACATTTTCCATACCACTAGTCATTCACATGTCACGAATCTGAGTATTAATCAGAATTTCATGATTTTTTGGGTTTCGGGTTTATTCGATTTTCGGGTTTTCAGATTTTCAAGTTTTCGGGTTTTCGAGTTCATATGAAACAGAGGTACTACTTATCTGGGGCATTCATATTCATTCCTTCTAACTAATATTATTTCATCCAAAAACCATAATTGTTTAAGTTGTTATCCTAATTATATATATATACACACACACATTATATGTATATTATATGTGCCATTAATTATTATGAATTGGATTCTTGATGTGATATACATGAAGGTGGAGGTGGCATCTCTATGTATGTGGGCAACAAACAACCATTGCTAAAGCACTACTTTTTCTCTACCAAACAGAACTTAAAAAAACAAAACAAAAGGGATGACAAAACCCCACCGACCCCCCACACCAGCTATATACCCTGCATGAAAACTCTGTGCACCCATAGGTCATTTTATCATCAATATATCTCTCTCTTCCAAACTCTCTCTATATATCTACCTCACACATTCTTCACAAACCTTTTGTAAGCCTTTGTCCTCAAATTTTCACTATCTTGAAAAAATAGCCTTAATTAATTAATTCCTCTCTCACTCATGGCTCGCTCTAGTGCTATCTTCTTTGTCTCCACAATGTTTGCACTTGTAGCTTTCTCAGCTTCTCAAGCTCCAACCCCATCTCCGGCGATGTCTCCGTCCGCCATGGCTACACCACCACCCACCGCCACCATGGCTCCACCTGCAATGCCACCAATGTCCACACCGCCGCCGAGTATGGGGCCATCACCCCCAATGGCGGCACCCGGAATGCAACCCATGCTGCCGTCTTCTCCACCAGCTCCGCCAATGTCTCCGTCGATGGGACCCATGGGGCCTTCACCGGGACCATCTCCGGGACCTTCTCCACCTATGCCGGCACCACCGCCATCGGCAGCTGCTTCGCCTGGACCTAGCATGGCGGCTGTCTTGGCATTCATTGGCGGAGTTGCGCTTCTTGCTTGAAACTTATAACGTTAGCTCGTTCTGCTTTTTTTTCTTCTTTTTTCTTTTAATTTGAGATTATTCATCCCATATTATTCTAGGCTTCAATAAACATTTGTGAATTCTTTATTGTTTTCCTGTGTTTGTATTATGTTTTACTGTTTTTGTACTATGTTATGTTGTTAGCGGGAACATAATTGTTTGAGGGTAAATTGTTAGTTTACCACTTCAAATTCACAGTTGCTTTGTAACATTATTTTGGCATTATATTGTTTGTTTAAACATTGAGAGTTAAGATTGGTGTTCTTTATTGCACGCCAACTTCACATTTTCTGATTCCATCAATTTGATTAATCGTACATACGTACCTCTATTTATAAAACATACCAGAAAACTGCGAAACTGAATTAGAAAAATTTAAACGAAAACTATATGGCCAAATAAATATATATGGGGGTGTGATTCTTGTGTGTTTTTTCTTTTTATGGGAATAGGATTCTTGTGTGATTTCACAGCGGAAGTTTTGTCGTACATGGGATGTTGGATGGAGACAATGAATGTAAGGAGGAGACAGCTGGAAAGGGTAGGGTAGGAATTAACTGACTGACTTTTGAAAATGTGAAGTAAAAGCAGAATGGACCATTAGCAGCTGGATTGTGATGTGCACATGCATCATGCTGCTGTGTTATTGTCTCCACTTCCACACAAACACACACACTACACACACTGATAGAATTCTTAGTACATATATATAAATTGGATGGATCAATTTATAAATTTTGGATTTCAGGCATTCGACAAAAATACTGATACAATAAAATACAAATGGTTAGACAGACATTTAGACGGTACTAGCGATCGATGTGGTCCTTTAAGCAATGAGAGAGAGAGAGAGAGAGAGAGAGAGAGAGCTGCGGGTTGTAAGAAAGAAAGAAGTATGGTGCGAGAGAGAAGTGATTCTGTGGTTATTGGCAGGAACAATTTAGATTCCCGATAAGATATGATGATAGTGGAAACTGTAAAAAGTCAGAGAAAAATGATCGTATATAGCATCTATCTATCTACATGATAATAAAATCATCACAATTTTTTTCTATCTTATTATTTGGGACTTGCTTTATTCGCAACATCTAATCCTCAGTTTGTGAATCCATGCCCAAAACATCACAACATGCTCAAACACACACAAATATGCCATCTAGTTCAATAATTGTACTTTATATTCTATTTTTGTTCGTTCAATAACTTTTTGGGCAGGTCGAATTTTGTTAGTTCAAAAACTTTTTCGGGGCAATTCTCCGGGATTCTGTTCACTTTTAAACCCAAGTGGAAACCATAAGCTGACTAATTGAACAATTGGTTTTTCTTTGAAAAACGCAACAATTACTTGGTAAACACTAGGGGTGGAAATTGAACTGATCGGTTCGAAAGTAGCACTTCTGGAAAATATTCAAATATTTATAAGTGGAAATCTAGGTCTAATTTCATTCCAAAAAATATCGGAAAGTTCAAAAATCGAAATTTCATAATTTTTTTGTCACCTATGGCTATAATATAAAAACACATAATGATATTGATATAATAAGTGTAATTTTCGGAAATATAATTTGAATTTTTGGAATATTTCGGAACTAATATGTATTCCAGTTCCGATCCCAAAAGAAATTGAAAGAGAAGAATCAGAAGTTCTGGAATTCGAAATGAAAATTCTTGTTCAAAAATCGAAAATTTTCATATCGGAATCGGCGGAATTCATAAATTCCGTTCCAATTTTCACCCATAGTAAATACAAGACTTCTATTGCTACAAAAGAGGGGAGAAGATAAATAAAAATATTTCAGGAAGTGCAACCAACCTAAATTCTCCTATAATTTGAGTTTAGTTTGGGTGGAATGACACATAATTACGACCAAATTCGAAAAGATAACTAGACGGAAGAGTTAATCACATGTGAAGAACTAATTTGATGTACTGATCAAACTTAAAGAAAATATTAACATTGAAGCCAAACAAACCATAGAGAGAATGATCACATTGACGATGAGGTGTTAAGCTTAGCTTACCGAAGAAGCTAGCAGACTTTCCCTTGCTATTAAGCTGCTTAGCTATGAAACTCGAACGTGAACTCTGGGTATAGTAGAATGTTCTATTAAAATAAGGATGTAACAAAATTTGTCACTCTGTCCAATGTTAAATATGAAAGAATCGAGACAATACCTCGAACATAAATGATCAACGAGAAAATATTGCTTCAGTCAATTGATTATGGAAGTATGTTTAAGCTATAAGACAGCTGCCCGATTTTTGTAGCACTGGTGTAATCTTTTTTTAAACCGACTTGCTACCTCTGTTACTACCTCATGAGATACCTAATGATTAAATAGTATCGGCTCACGCAAAAAAGAATGGACTTATATTTTTGAGACAAAAAATAAACAAAAATTGGTTAATACTAGTGTATTAGTTTCAACCCCGTTTTCGTTGTTTTCTACGGCATTCAAAACATTCAGTACATGAAGAGGACTTACTCCTAGTTGTGAAGCTAGATTGGAGCTTGCCAGGTTTGACTTTCAATTCTTCGACTAATATTTGGCGAAGCTTCTCGTTTTCTTGCATCAGCTCCTCAATCAGCATCTGGTGTTTCAACACCTGAATGCATATTACTAAAGTTTGTTAGTATATATGTTTCGTCTAAAAAACAAAAACACACACATAAGTAGAAGAAAGACTATGCCACTGATGCATTGTGAATGCATATCAAAGTGAATATGTGTTTTTCTTTTACGAGAATCTCAATCCATTTGAGAAACAAATTCGTTTAATATCACTAATACATGAATCTAAAGTCTCGGAAAATGTCTAGAAATCAAATCAATGCTCCACTGAAGAATTTAATATCTGCATAAGTAATCAGTTTTTTCTGTCAAAACAGTACCATTTGAAGCACATTTTTCTCCAACTGCAGTGTCTTAGCCTGCAACGAAAAATCGGAGTCAGTAACTGTCAGTTCACGATCCGAAATAAATTCAATCCAGAGTCAAAAAAAAAACAAAAATCAAACAAATATTTTATATATATATATATATATATATATATATATATATATATATATATATATGTTTAAATCAAGCTTGAGAATCTATGAGAGAATAAAATTCATCACCAAGGCTTAGCCTAAGTGGCATTGCGCCTTTTCTCATTGTGGGGAGAGGTTGCGGTATCGAAATCCCTTTTGATGCATGAGTCGTAATAACCATTTATACGAGAAAAAAATGTTTTTTTTCTAATAAATTATGAGAAAATAAATTGAAATGCTTGGATGCAATGATTATAATGATACATAATGAAAGACTGCGACCGTATTGCCCGATTTCAACCTTTCACCACTTAAAATAGTATGGTACGAATCGGAGACAATTCTTGTTAAACTTAAGGATCTTCTTACACAATAAACATCTGGGATTATAGCTCGCTGATATATGTGGGGTATAAAAAGAGTTATGCTGCAATGAAGTTACAATAATACTAGAAAAGGATTAAATTTGACGTACTTGTTCATTGAGCGAGCTCCCTTCTTCTTTGAGAAGTGGACTTTTCAAAAAGTTGTTAAGGACCGCCTCTGTTCGACTGCTGTATTCTGTGTTTATTGCAGCACTTTTTGCTGCTAAAGTGTCATCCAGAGACACCACCGCACCTTTCGCATCGCTAATGTTGCCTTCAAATGTACTGTTTGATACTGGTTTTACCAATTTACTAATAATACTTCCCCCGGGATTTTCATGTGAAGTTTCCTTAACCATGGTCATTCCAGATTGTAAAGATGCTGGGATTATTCCTTGAGTAACAGACAGGTTCGAACTCGAATCGATTCCGAGTTTTGTCATCACATATGTTGCCACTTGCTGAAAATTTGGGAGCTCGAGTAAGATTTTAGAAACAAAAAAAGAAGAAGAAGAAAAAACCAACAGCAAAAAGGGACATACTAAAGCTTGTGACTGAAGTTGATGCAGCACACCAGGCTTCACAGCAAGGCCTGCCATGTATGCACTATCTTAGCTTATCTAAAATAGTAAAGAATGAGAATCGTATAAACTTAGATGAAGTGATAAACTTAGAAAATAAAATAGATAGAAAAACTGCGACTTTCTTATGAAGCAACCTGGAATATAGATAACATACCAACTCCAAATCCATGGCCAAAACCCACTCCACAGCCAACACCCACTTGAACGTTCTTTGCGCCCACTTTTATCAACTAGATACATCAAAGTTAATGACAAAACATTACAATTTATATTTTCCATGACATGTACAAATAACCGAAGAGTAAATATCAGAGAGAAAACATACAGAAGTATTGATATGTCTTTGCACACCAGAAAAGGCATCGGTTGCACCTCTAGTGGCACTCATGACTTGGTTGAGGACCGGTATTGCACCTAAAGTGACATATTGAAGTTTCACAACTAACTCAGAAATGTCGATGCCCCAATTCTAAAAACGTAATAAAAAGTAATAATGTACTGTGGCACTTGGTTAGTATAATGACAGTCGTCGACTGTTCTTTAATGATAAAAAATAGTTAAAACCAATATATATGGACAGGATATAATTTTGTAACGAGCATAGCTCTAGATGCATCACTATCAATAAGTAGATTAATTCTAACATATAAAAATATTCCAGAATGCTCAAAATCTTTTGGCAAACTATCTATTTCAATTTTGAGCACGACTTTCCATTCCGTTTTCTTATGATGGTTTTGTGAACATGGCCACCCACTGAATTTAAAGCCTGATACAAAATAAAAATGCAGACTAACCTACGTTATTCATCAATAAAAAAAAAAAAAAAAATCCATTTAAGCTTTTCATGCGCAATACAGCTGATACTAGAGCATGGATAAAAAAAAAAAGATTCATTATACTTTTTCTTTATAATTAATTTAGAAGGGAAGTTGGAACCACATTTCCTTACTATTTGAGTTGTTCCATTATTAAGATTGATCATTTCATAGTTGCCAGTTGATAACCAAACCCTAGCTTCAGATGCTTATATTTCGAGTTCATGAAAGTTGAAACGTATACTGAAGCATCGGCCATCGGTGTAGAACGGACTAAAATTAAATCATTCTAATCTAAACATTTTTGTTCTTCTCATTTTTTTTTTGTTCCAAATATATCAACATGAATCCACCAATTTCTCAAAACAAGAACATAAACGAAACACGAAAGTATAAATTCGACATTCTAAAACTCACAAAACACGATCAAATAAGTGCTCAAACATCAAATATTCAACCGTCCACCAAAAAACCAGTTCACGAATTCCAGGATTCAAAAAAATTGCCACCTAACAGAGCAGCAAAAACATTAATTATGAGTAATTCCATGTATGCATTTAGGGAACCTCCATGATTCAGAGAGATTGATTTAACGGAGAAGGAGAGTGGGGGAAAAGGTACCTAAGTTTAAAGGGCGGCCGACGCCAATACCCAAGCCGCAACCAATGCCGAAGCCAGTGAAAACTTGACCCACCTTCAAATTAAACGGATTCTCAATTCTGATCCCTCTTCTCTCTTTGGTATGGATTACCACCCCCTTTCCCTCTTTCGTCGCCGCCATTCTTTCTTCTTTATTTTTCTCTACTTACTAATTTGCTCAGATGCTACACCACTGCACTGGTTCTACGCTAGTTGTTCTCTTTTTTTTCGTTTTGGTAATTAACATTTTCTCTTTTGTGGATTTACAATTTCTTTTTGTTATTTTACTAAACGTTATTAAAATGAGTCAATTTAATATAGGTCCTCCTACCAGACGTTATATATGTTTATAAATTCAACTAATAAAACACAGTTTTTAGTAAATTTATTATTTTTAACGTGTCAATGATATCCTCAACAATATATGAAAAAAAAAAAAAAAAAATGGTTTGTACCGATAAATATTCAAGTGCAAACATAAAACGCGAGTCAGTCCCCAACTACGTTTCACAAGTGTGGCAATCCTAAAAGCAAACATAAAAATGCAGTTCACTCCCTAACCATGTGTGGAAAGTCCGAAACACCCTTCATTTTGTTTTGTAATTACCTGCAAATGTCTGACACGCCTTCCAATACACTTTTTCACGCGTCGTTTGAGAGACACATTCCACGCCTTTTAAACTATCCATGAATGTAATTACAAGAGGGGGGTTTCGTAATTTGATCATAACTCAGGGGTGGCCGTAATTTGCCCTTTACTTATTGTCGAATTGCATGATTTTGAACACTTTCTCTCCTGGGTATTATTCTTCGGCGACATTAGCATGTCCTCAAAGTACTTTTAGTCCTAACAAGGATTTGATATATGATGTTTGATGACTTTGATATAGGATATGGGAAAAAAAGCTTAATTGTATTAATCTTGGTGATGTTGTCGTATATGTCATATGCAATAATGGTATTGCTAGTGCATTTGGATGGTGTTGAAACATAATATTGGAAGTACTTGTAGTGGAACTTTATAGTACATTGTATTTGTTATAATTGTATTATAACAATTTTTTTAATTAATTTATATATTTTGTTTGGGTAGTAATGTTGATTAATTCATTTCTTTATTTAACTAATACGATAATTGCTATTCATAAACTATAATAAACAACAATATAATGATTAACGAAACACACTTTAATTGATGAATTATAGGACGAGCCATGTAAATTGAAATACATAACTCATAAAATGTGGAACGGACATTTGGAGTTCTTCAAGCTCGATTTGCAATTATTAGAGAAGCAGCTCGATTCTCGATGAAAGAAGACTTGCATGAAGTTATGTTTGCATGCACTATTATGCAGAATATGATAGTTGAGGAATAATGCAATGGCAGAGACCCCAAAAGCTTGGCACGACCTCTTCATAATACTCGCCTTTGAAGGAAAGTCCGGTGATATCTCCCATCTCCCAAAGCGAAATTCCTTCTCTCCTTCCCAGATGCATCATAGTAATTAGAGATAACGAATGAGATCTGAAAGAGGATATACTAAAAGCACATAGATCGTCGAAATTGGAACCCTTTTCAACTCAGTTTAACCACCCCATGTATGTGCGCCAGTCTCTGTCTAGCTCGGGAAGGAATTACGCTTGAAACACTTATATTTTTACGATGTTCAATCTCTCACAAACCTTGACTATGAAAGTTCGTCCTATATTCCGCCTATTGAGATTTTGAGATATTTTAATAATGCGACATATGTTAGTTTGCTTAGTCGACATTGAAATCTGATAAATCAAGGAAAGTACAATGAATTAAGAAGGAGATTGGTAACACATTTATTGAATAAACGCACTCAAATCGAAGATTTTGAAGATTATGATGGTGATGGTAATAATAATTATGGTGAATGAGATTTTTTTAAATTTTAATTAATTTATGTTGTAATATTATTTATTTATGCAATAATTTATGAGATTATTGTTTATGTATGATTTTGTTATATGTAAAATGATTTGAGCTAATTTTATTTCATGTTTAGATAGTTTTTTAAAATTGACAACATAATTTTTAAATTATATAGTGCAAAAAATTTATTACTTAAAATTGAATCTATAATTAATATTTAGAAAATAAAATATACTAAAATTATGATAAACATTAAATTTATAGTTTTGGGACATATATGATGAAATTCTACAGGAGACCAAACTAAATATTTATTTATATAAGTGGTGAAATGGTAAAATATTATTATTATTATTATTATTATTATTATTATTATTATTATTATTATTATTATTATTATTTGACATAAATTTTGGTGCAAAACATTAATCCATTTTTTACTCCAAAAATATTTTTTTCTCCAAAACATAAATGGTAAAATATTATTATTATTTTCTCCAAAAATTGTGGAATGGTAAAATAGTGTGTTACTTATTGGAGATCAACCCATTTTTTGACAATAAAAAGTGGGATTGGTGAAAAAATTATGGAACCGCTTGAAAAAAAATAAAAATTAAAAACTAAAAACAATTAAAAATTAAGAAAACAACCTTTTAAAAAAGTCAAAAAGATTCAAAACACACCTGAAATCCCTCTGGTTTCCCAATTCTCACCACCCAAACCGGCGCCGTCTCCGCCGCTGCCGACGCCGACGTCGACGAAGCCGCCTCATTCTTCCGTCAACGCCGCGGTGTCCACCTTTGTCGCCACCTCCTTCCCCCCTCTTTCTTCCGCCGCCGTCCCCTCTGAAATTGTGAATAGGGTATGAATTATTAATTCAATTAACTCAGTTATCGTAGGAATTCGAGTAAAGCATTCTAGTATTTTGGTGTTAAATATTAATAATATGAGGAACGTTGTTAAGTAGCGTACTGAAATTTCGAAAGTTGTTGACTATGTTTTAAGTTACAGATTATTTTTTTGAGGTTGAAGGATGTGATGAAATGATTAACAGTATTAGATTTTACTTGTGTTTTTACAGCTAAAATGTTTACGAATGATGAGAGACAAAAGGAGAGAACTGGAAAATATGGAAGTCCGAGACTGCAATACCTGCAGGTAGGTGCCTTTGCTTGATTACCATTGCAACATATCAAGTCTTTCGGATTGATCCGACGAATATTCGTTTTTATGTAATGTTGACATGCTGACTTTTGTATGTTTAATTATCCAATTCTTTTGATTTTATACCTTAGGAACTGGTTGCACAATTTCAGAATGCATCCAATGAAGGTACGGCTGCCAAAACTTAATTGGTAACTACTCCGTTTCTAACTTAGTTTACAATTCATGTGTGGGAATTAGAATATTTAGTGTTTCCAATAAGGGGTTGAATACTGTTTTCAGTTCGGTTTTCAGGTTTAACTATTAACCAGAGTTACAGTCTCATCCTTTGCATTCAAGAAAATGTTGCTTACTGATAGTGTAGTTACTAGATTAATCTGTAACAAACACATCTTCAGAAAGTTATTGTCTCCCTTTGTTCTTTGAGCATGTCAAAGATTACAAATATGAAGCTAAAGTTGTACCAACGCCCGGAAACGAGCATTTCGAACTGAACAGCCATGGTTTTTAATCTGCCGCTACTGTTTATGGGAAAATAGTTGCATCATTAAAATATCAAATTATGTTGTTTTCATTGTGATATCTCTCCATGTTATTGGTCATTGGACGGAAATCTATTCCCTTGGCTTATTTAACCGACAAGGCAAAAAATCACTTCTATTGTGTCTGAAATTCCACTAAAGGTGCGCAATAATGTTGTATTAGCTGCATATTAGTGACCACCTTAAGCAGTAGATGATCTAGATATTAAATTTATGTTAATTCACGTTTTAAATTTTTGTTCTCAGTATAAATTTCCTTCGAATTCCCCGTAAAGTTAATGCTGATAAAATGTAGGGCTGCGTATATGTAACCTAATCAGTTTTCCCTCGATAATCCATCAAGCACAGGCCAGCATATCCTACTCTTTCAGGGTTATAAGCAAGGTAGTCAAAATCGGGATTTTAAGTGAAATCTGAGAGGGGTAGTAAAATCGAAAACGTAAAATCAGATCTTAAATCGTAAGATTTTTACATGTATTGTAAAATAAATATATTTAGTACTTACTACATAGAAAACATCCGTAACACAAATAAAATAAGTCATAATATACATAAAATATGTCCTAACAAATATAAAACATCCCAACATTAACAAAACGTGTTTTATCATTAATTAAACATAGTCTTATCATAAACTGTGTTAGGAGATAACTGAAACTGACACTCACAACCGCTGCATGTTTTTTTAGCAGAAGAGAAGTATTTTCTTCTCGTCTGATAGATTGTTATTTTAGGGCAGGGCTGAGCTTTATATATATTCTGGATTATTTGGTAGTTGGCTAAAAAAATTTAGTTAAAAAACTGAATTTATGAGACCAAAATCCAAAATTTCAGCCCAATTCTTGACAAAAACCAAAATCGCCAAAATCACACTAAAATCGCGTTTTTAACGATTTTAACGATTTTGAACGCGATTTCACGTGATTTTAAGGCACCTGCGATTTTAGTGAGATCTTACTCCTTTTCAGTGTGTAAAATCTTAAAGTCTTACGATTTACGATTTACGATTTAGATCTCGATTTTGACTATATTGGTTATAAGCCGAGCATTACTGTAATAAAGAAGTAGTAAGTAGTTGGAGCTGCTCTTGAATTTTAGTAGGTACTATTCTATTATTTTTTTGCATGTCTGCCTTTAATTATTTGCATAATAGCTAGACAACATATGTTGTCTTTATTCGCCTTGTTTCCTTCCAAAGGGATTTTGTATCATATGCAATCTTCTGAAGAGATGCTCTAACTTACTGTACATATGTATGGTGCTTGACCTGAATTCTTGTAGATGTTATCTTTCGTAGATTATGTTTTTTTTTATCTTTTGTACTACCAATACCTTTTGGCGTTACATATACAATGAATTAATTAAATTGCAGAAACAAAGGAGAAAATTGTTGCTAATTTGGGGAACTTTGCTTACGATCCTTACAATTTTACCTTTCTACGTCAGGTTTGTGATATCCTCGTATAAATTTAAGTTGATTAAGAAAGTTCATGTTTTGAGTGACGTGAATAAATGATATGTTCATTGAGCAGCTAAATGTTTTGGAACTTTTTCTGGACTGCTTAACAGAGCCCAACGAGAGGCTTGTAGAGTTTGCCGTTGGAGGAATCTGCAATGCTTCTTCGGGTAGGATAATATTCCGAAATGCAATTATACTTGGAAGAACGTAAAAAAAATGATGCATCTCGTCTTCAATTTACTATTATGTTTCTGATTTCCTGTAATTATTTTCTGACATACAGATCCAACAAATGCTTCAATTATCGTTCAATGTGGTGGTATTCCTCTTGTTGTCCAATGCTTATCAAGTCCTGTTAGAAACACGGTATAACCAATAATATTTCTTTTTAAAGTTTTTACATAGTTTCTTTCAGCTGTAGAATTTATCGGGAAACAAAGGGAATATTTTAACCAGCTCATTTGCATACTTGCTCCATTGAGCCGTGTTTGACTAGCTCATTACATGTGTATGTATCTATTGCAAAATAAAAGGCTGGATTTGACTCGAGTTTATGTTTTCCCTAATGGTCTAGAAGCATGTGTTAATGTGTAGGTAAATTATGCTCTCGGATCGCTGTACTATCTGTGTAATGAAACTACTGAGGAAGAAATTCTGAAGCCAGAAATAGTGGACGCCATCAAAAGGTTTGCTGCAGCTGGTGCAGTTAATGTTGGATTCAGTAATTTGGCTCAGGCTTTCTTAGACAGACACATCTCTAAATGATTTTCGTTTTGTCATTTAAACCGTGTGGTTTGATCCAAATTCCATGTACAAAAACTAGGATTGTTTCACTATATATACCATTTGAATTTGTTAGTTAATTTTAATAGTATGTTATTTTGCTCGGTCGTTCACTTCATTTTTCGGCTTGAAACTGATGAGCCGAAACTTTTATTATAGAAATGACATGAAAAGGCTGAAGCTGAACCCAGAGAGCTTTTAGTACAGTTCAAATTTTACAACTTACATTACACAAGTCATACACAGTGACTTCTTTTGGGTCGACCCTCTAGATAAGCCACACATGCATGCAGCTGCTCGGGGCCCCCAACCCTCTGCAAAAAGTTGTAGTTTATATTTATACTTACTTGAAATTTGAAATTTTTAGAAAATTTGTTAGGGCATCTCCAACTCGAAAATTGGCACATCAAACACGTTTTGGGTTTGCTACAGTGTTTTTGCCTCATTTGATGGCAGTGTTGGACCTGCCCTTAGGATTCAATTTTAATTTTTAATAATATGATCTAATTTTAAATTTTTATCTTTATATAAGTTGACATCCATGGTTGTTATTATAGGTTAGTCGTCGATTGTAAGTGTAATTAAAAAAAAAAAAATCGGAAAAATTCTTATTTTATTTTCGATTTTTTTTAAAGGAAATTCTACTAAAAGTATTGTATTTAAATAATATTGTATTGTGGGTTTAGAAATACTTTGTAATCTCTCTTACTAATGTAGCTATTTATATTCGTGTCAATTTCTCAGGCCACACAGTCCATGAATTTTGGATCAATACCCAACTTGTTTTAAACATTTGTAGGTAGAAATTTGTCACAAAGTAGTAAAGTTTTCTACGAGCTCTCTATAAAATTCTTCATTATACTTACTTTCTATAACTCAAGTAGAATATGAAATGTTTTATAAAGTCACTCACAACCATGATATAAAATCAATCTCACCATCAATTAGGAAAGTGAAATGCTATATATAAGAGTAGAATTTTAGTTATGAACCAAGTAAACGAAATTCTAAACACAATAAAGCCAGTAGATTCTATATATACAACAAAAAAAATGGGTCTGGAAGCCATATTTTTAAATATGCGTGGGGCCTAAAAAATTTTAGGAATGACCTTATGATTTCGCTAAAATTCTACTTAACGGTTACGTGTAATTCAAGAAAGCAACTTATCAAACTCTAAAAAATTATTCATTAAAAAAAGGGCAAATGGCAAAAAGGCCCATCACATGGGACTTAAATGCATTTTAGTTCACAAAAAAAAACAGTCTCTCAATTAAGCCCATCCCCATGTCTTTAGTCTAAAATACCCTCAATAATATAATTCTTAACAATTCCACCCATTATGCTCTAACTTCCTTAATATTACACATTGACCCCGGATTTAAACAAATATATGACATTAACCCCCAAAATTTTTTTTTTTCAGAAAATAATTTTTTTTCTGAAATGTTTTTTTTCCGGCCAGATTCCGGCGTTGACTTTTTTTTTTTTTTTTTTTTGAAATTTTTTTTTCCTGAATTTTTTTTCCGGCCGATCAACCACCGTTGACCGACGGTCTCCGGCGTTGACGTTTTTTTTTTTGAATTGTTTTTTCTTACAAAAAAAATATTTTAATTAATATTACTGTCTTGACTACTAAATTACTGTCTCAGACAGTAATATTACTGTTTGGGACAGTAATATTATGAATATTATTTTTCCGAACAATAATATTATTAATATTATTGTCTAAGACAGTTAAATTACTGTTGGAGACAGTAATTTAACATCCAAGACAGTAATATTAATTAAAATAAATTTTTTTGTAAGGAAAAAAATTAAAAAAAAAAAAAAGTCAATTAACAGTTAAATTACTGTCTCCGACAGTTAAATAACTGCTGGAGACAGTAATTTAGCAACGAATACAGTAATATTAATTAAAAATATTTTTTTTAAGAATAAAAAAGTCAATTAACAGTTAAATTACTGTCTCCGACAGTTAAATAACTGCTGGAGACAGTAATTTAGCAACGAATACAGTCATATTAATTAAAAATATTTTTTTTAAGAATAAAAAAGTCAATTAACAGTTAAATTACTGTCTCCGACAGTTAAATAACTGCCGGAGACAGTAATTTAGCAACGAATACAGTAATATTAATTAAAAATATTTTTTTTAAGAATAAAAAATTCAATTAACAGTTAAATTACTGTATCCGACAGTTAAATAACTGCTGGAGACAGTAATTTAGCAACAAATACAGTAATATTAATTAAAATATTTTTGAAGAAAAAAAAAACAGTCAATTAACAGTTAAATTACTGTCTCCGACAGTTAAATAGCTGCCGGAGACAGTAATTTAGCAGCCAAGACAGTAAAATTAATTAAAATATTTTTTTTAAGAAAAAACAAAATTATTAAAAAAAAAAAAAAAAAAAGTCAACGCCGGAGACCCGGCGGTCAACGGCCGTTGACCGGCCGGAAAAAAATTTCAGGAAAACAAAAATTAAAAAAAAAAAAAAAAAAAAAGTCAACGCCGGAATCTGGCCGGAAAAAAAATATTTCAGAAAAAAAATTTATTTTCTGAAAAAAAAAAGTCTTGGGGGTTAATGTGATATATTTGTTTAAATCCGGGATCAATGTGTAATATTTAAGAAGTTAGAGCATAATGGGTGGAATTGATAAGAATTAGGGTTAAAATTGGGGTCAAAATTGAAATTAGGGTTAAAATTGGTTAATTGATGAAATTGGGCTAAATTGGGATGTAAATCATGAAATTGGAGTTGAATTGGGTTTCAATGAATTGAGGGTAATTTTGGTATATATAAAAGGATTTTCCTTATTTAATTTGCAAATAAGTTTGAATGGGCTGGATTTATTTGAAAGACAAAAAAATTGAATGTCCCTCTTTTAATTAAGTGCCCTTGTCATGGGCTTTTTTGTGATTACCCTTAAAAAAATGAGTATGCTATTCACATTGCATTTTTTCCCACATATATTGCGAAATAATTCATATTTGACAAATCATTTAAACCTTTTCCAAATTCTCACAACCTCTAAATTTTGAAAATTTCAAAATCGTAATAATTTTTGCTAACAATATTAGTTAGAGCACAATTATCAATATGGATGATACCCACTTCAATTTTGAGGTAAAAAATCCCCTTTTTTTTTGTCGAATTCTGATTTTTCACTCAATTCGTGTTGTTTTGTACGAAATTAAACTCGAAACTGATTTTGTCCAAAATTATTTTTTGTTTCGTGTACACTTACATGAAATACATTGTGCATCGTGTAAATGTACACGGAATTCCATTTTTTAATTAATTCAATAATGTTTATGTTTATATAGGAACACGAAAAAGAATCTCACGATTACAGTCACTTCTTTCAACGTGATGTCGCATTTGATAGTAGTGAGACATTAACTATGTGGGCAAAAGACACTACAATTACTCATAATCATCAACTTATTAATCATTGTAAAAATGAGAATTATCAGTATTCGACGTGTGTAAGGTATCGATCTGGATGAAGCCATGAACTATTGAAGAAACATCCTGATCATTTCAAGTTAATTGACAAGAAGTCAAAGGATGATAGATTATGACGACTGCGATGATAATCATAACATGGGCTGATTATTCATAATTGGTAGAATATGAAAGATTGTATTTTATATTTTAATGTAATTTTATTTCTTGTTGATTGAAATGACAATCATAATAAATTGTATTTTCAATCTTCTTAGTATTTATCTTAATGTCAATGTTATGTTTATTATTATTTTTTTTTTGCCAAAAATATTTTATTATTCCATTATGATAAAGCGTTTTGAGGTCTCGTCAAAACCTTGTGGACCTAGCACAAGGAAAAAGAGTACCCCTACAATGGTAATAAAATAATCAGAAACGACACTATAATCAATTTCTCATTATTTTTTGTTTGTGCTTTGTTTCGGAGTTATTTCTTAAACTGAGCTTAGGGAGGGTTCTTGGACAAAAGAAACATGTGAGCATGAACATATACAATGCGCAAAACGTACACAGAGCTTTGTCGGGGAGTTTAGCGAAATTACCTTCTTCTATTTCCTTTTGTTCGCCAGTAGAATATGTAAATATTGGCAGAACCCAACTATGACAACAATTGTGCCAGCAGTTCGTGATTTGCGGGACTCCTGGAGTGATAAGGTGTCTCACGATAACTGGAGAGATAAAGATGAAGAGTCCTGCAAATCACGTAATATTGTTGACCGTGAAACCCCAAATGATTTGGAGTCCTATAGCAGCAAATTCAACCCAACATGGTAGTTCAATAAGATAGAGCTTATATAGGATTTAGATTCATCTTATGTAACTTACGAGCAATCTCTTCTCTTTTAAATATATATGTATTTTCTCCTTTAACATAGAATATACAGCCTTGTGCTCACGTTTAGTTTAATAAGAAATAACTTTTCTCCTTTTCTCGGGATAATTATAGTTTTGGTCCCCCAAGTTTGCACATTTTTCATTTTTGGTCCCCCATTTACCGCCTTCAACAAAATATACACTAATGTTGTCACATTTTAACACATTTAGTCCTTCCGTCTATTAGACCGTCAATAAGTAACGGTCAACTCTTGAATTTGGGCTGTTGAATTTGGGATTTTTCATAGATAAAAATTGCACCCAGACCCCTGCATTCTCTTAAAATATTATACTACCCCCTAAAATTTTATTCAACTCTAATTTAACACCAATTTCATCATTTAATCAATTTTGGCAAACAACCCCAATTTTTACCACCATTACCGCTAACCGTAAACCGCCGTTGATTTATTTTTTTACTTTTTTTTTCCTGCATTGACTTTTTTATTTGGTATTGATTTTGACGCCGTTCACCGACATTGTATTCTCGGTTAACAATGTTGATTTATTTTTATTTTTCTTGATTTTTTACGAACTTTTTCCTTTAACCTTTTTTCCGATCAACACAATTACTGTATAACACAATAATAATACTATATCAATATCTAGTATCGTAATATTAAAATTACAAACTTTTAACAAAGTTTTTGTCTAAAATTCTAGGGCCTAAATACAATTTAAAAAAATTCTAAAATCCATAATTTACTCCGCTCGATCTTTTCATCGTGGAACCGCCACTGCATCCCAAATTTATTCCCAAGAAAATATGAAGAAGATGAATTAGGCATGTGCGGAGTAATCTGAAATGAGATAACCACTCTAGTACAACGGTTTTTGGGGCTAACACCGACCGTTAATTTTTATCTTAAAATTTTTCCGTCATTGAGATGCACTGACTTTTTCCTTTTTTCTTTATTTTGATTTTTTTTATGATATTATTTTCTCGCCGATTATCTGCTTTGCTTTTTTTAATTATATTTTTCCATTACTCAATAATTTAAATAAAAATAAAATAAAAATTAAGAAAAAAAATGTCAACGCTTTTAAGCCGACATTCAACATCGGTCAACAGCGAGAAAAAAGATCAATCGACAAAAGAATCAACCGAGTTAAAAAGAAAGTCAAAGTCGGATTATCAAATTTTGAAAAATCGGGGTCATTGGTTAAAATTGGTTAATTGATGAAATAGGGGTTAATTATGATTATATAAAATTTTAGAGGTTTTTAGAATATTTTAAAAGAATACAGGAGTCTTATTGCAATTTTCTCAAAGAAAAACCCCAAATTCAACCGTTGACCGTTACTACTTAACGGTCAAACAGACGGAGGGACTAAATGTGTTAAAATGTGACAACATTAGTGTGTATTTTGTTGACGGTGGTAAATTGGGGACCAAAAGTGAAAAACGTACAAACTTGGAGGACCATAACTGTAATTATCCCCCTTTTCTCCTTCTCTTCTCTGTAAACACATACTACATGCAATACTAAACTACCCATATATATACCCTAATGTATTTTGAAAATATAAGAGATTATACACAAATCATATTAATTATCTTATATTGGGGGAATTTTTGTTCTTTTTACCCATTGAACCTGTAAAACGTAACAATCCCAAATTACAGTGCAATAGAACTAGGTATAGCACTAAACAAAGCTTACATACGCCCAACATTTAAAGAAAACATAAATAATACACATCTTATAATATAAATAAATTTACGTTTAGAAGGTCTTTCAACAGTAAAACAACTGCAAGGGCATTGGCGAGCGGTATTAGGGTGGGAGGGAAGTGTTAGGTCACGAATTCTATTCCCATCGGGTACAGTTGTAGGCCAATTTTATTTTTATTTTTGGAAAGAATTTTTTATTTAAAACGAAACATATTACAACGATAGTAGAACTAGGTTTTAAATATCGCCTAATTTTCGTAACATAAAGAGTGGTGTTAAAACTAGATTTTCGAATAACTTACATTTTTTTCCCATTTTTTGTTGAAAGTATAGCTTCGGAAATGTAGAAGAGTTCCCAGAAAAAATCATCTAAGATGCTCGAAGTTTGATTTTAGTGAGAAAAAATGGGGCGAACAAAAGAGAAGAGGAAGGAGAGAGAAATGGGAGTCCACGACATGATTAGGGATGTAAAAAGGGTAGCGTAACGTACACTACTGAAGGTATTTATGTATCTATTGCAAAATAAAAAGGCTGGATTTGACTCGAGTTTATGTTTTCCCTAATGGTTTGAAAGTATGTGTTAATATGTAGGTAAATTATGCTCTCGGATCGTTCACACAATTCCTTTAACTCTTTGGTCAAAGGTTGCGAATACACATCAAGATTGTTGCCAGGTTCAGAGGGACCAGGTATAAGTAGACACTACATCAAGTAAGACTTCTTCATAGAATCACTAGGGGGTAAATTGTATGGCATTAAGATTACTGGCTATGTACTATGGGCAACATTCATTGTTTTAAAAGGATTAAAACCATCAATTTTCAAACCCAATCGTACATTCGGAGGATTCTTAGAATAGTTCAATAATATTAATTATATTATAATAAAATTCAAATATATCAGGTCACGAGTTTTCAAACAAAAAAAATCAAAATACGACACATGTATTGAAGACACTTTCTATGTTTCTTAATTAACATGAACCGAACAAGAATTAAATAGGAAAGGCATGTGAACTAGTACAATCACAAACTAAGTAAGATAATAATGTAAGGCAAGACATATTTGATTATATATATATATATATTATGATTTATGTTCTTTAATATAATTAGTACCAGTACCATCAGTATCAGTATAAGTATATGTATCAATAGCATTAAAATTAGTTTTAGCATTTATATTACAATGCACAAAACACACACAGAGCTCCGTCAGGGAGTTTAGACAAATTACCTTCTTCTATTTCCTTTTGTTCGGCAGTGAAATCTGTAAACACATGCTACATGCAATACTAAACTACGCATATATATACTCTAATGCTTTTTGAAAATATAAGTGATTATACACAAATCATACTAATTATCTTTACTGGGAGAATTTTCGTTCTTTTACCAATGAAACCTGTAAATCGTAACAATCCCAAATTACAGTGCAATAGAACCTAGGTATAGCACTAAACAAAGCATACATATGCCCTACATTAAAAAAAAACACAAATAATACACATCTTGTATAATATAAATAAATTTACGTTTAGAAGGTCTTTCAACAGAAACAGTAGAATAACCGCAAGGGCATTGGGCGAGCGGCATTAGGGTGGGAGAGCAATGTTTGGTCACGGATTCTATTCCCGTCGGGTTCGGTTGTAGGCCACTTTATAAGGCCAATTTTTATTTTTATTTTTATTTTCTGAAAAAAAACCCTGTAAAATGAAACACATTACAACGATATTAGAACTAGGTTTTAAATGTCGCCCAATTTTCGTAACACAAAAAGTGGTGTTAAAACCAAATTTTTGAATGACTTACATTTTTTTCCCATTTATTGTTGAAAGCATAGCTTCGAGAATGTAGAAGAATTTTCAGAAAAAAACATCTAATATGCTCGAAGTTTGATTTTAGTGAGAGAAAATGGGGCGAACAAAAGGGAAAAAGAAGAAGAAAGAAATGGGAGTTCAATCTACGTGATTATAAATGTGAAAATGTAGCGTGTAACGCGCAAAACTAGGGGTATTTATGTCAATTCATATCGATAGAGTACTATTAACAAATTACAAAATTTGTACTGTCCTGATATGAAAAGAAAATACACAAGAGCCTAGCAAATTGCCTCATATTTTGGAGAAACAATATCAAGAAAATCAAATTGTAACCAAATATTGGCTCTTAGAGTTGAGAAACTAAATGAAGTATCAAACTACCACTTTGATACTCGAAAATTAAAAAAATGTTCTCCTATGGGCATTAAAGTGACATTTATGACACTCAACTATCCCGAGGTGCAAAAATGCTCCCTGGAAAATTAAGTATAAATAATATAACCACTCCATTAACCTATCATTATTTGACATTGGCATTTAAAAATATAATTATTCATATATTTAAAATTTGATAATCTATTTGATACTTGTGGTTGGAGTGAATTTTTTTTGTCGAAGTATCAAAGTATTATAAGTATCAAATGAATGTTTAATGCTCCATTTTGATATCTCCTCATTGGAGTTGCGCAAAGGGCATGTAATATGCCTAATTAGGCCAGCCCAATGAGCCTATATTTTATTTATCTACTGGACTACGAGCCCGATTTAGAAGATCACTACTACGAAAACCCAATCACCTATAAATAAGGTTTGAGCCCGACTAATTAACCTCAGCCGAATCCACAAGGTATAAATAACTATTTAATTCATTTGTTAAAGGTACCCCTATTATATACCCAATACTACAATTTGTATTATCTCAACTACTTCTACTATCCGCACATTTGATTTGAGCGTTGGGTTTCCGCCGGATCAACCCCGATCTAGTTCATGTGTTCTCTGTTCGGTTCGCAGGTCACACTCTCTTGATCCACTTTGTTCTCCCAACTCATCCTACCTTAATTACCGGTGATCTAATTCTAATATATCATCATATCATCAATAAACTTCAATGGTGAAATATTAAAATAGAGCATTAAACATTCATTTGATATATATTAGGGGTGGTTAAGTATCAAAGTAAATATCACTTACTTTAATGGCTCCATTGGATGATGATTTTTTTTTTAATTTCAAAGTATCAAACCGGTAGTTTTTTTAATTTGAACTTCGTTCAGTTCTTCACTGGAATTGCTTACATTCCATAATATAATGTGGGGCATGTGGATACAAAATATCCAGCAGTTGATTGTTGAATATGGTGTATGACGAAACTGAATCCCAGCCACTTGTTCACCATCAACCAATCCCCCCACAATTCTCAGAATTTGCTAAAACACACACACACACACACACACACACTGAATTTCAATTTGAAATTAATGGCGACACTTGTAATTATGCCTCAAAAGTGGCCATCGAGGCTAATTGCTTCTTCACTCCCAAAACACAGACTGAACAAATCAATTTGTGCATCAATTAAGAATAATTCAAAATCTGAAGTTAGGAAGGAAGATATTGTCATCGTCGGTGCCGGAATCGCTGGCCTAGCTACTGCCGTTGCCCTTCAAAGGTAGGTTTTTTTTTTTCAATTTCAATTTCAATTTCAATTTCCCCCCTTTTTTATTTTTTTGATAATCAATATAATAAAGTAATTAATGTCAGGTTGGGGATTGGTTCATTGGTAGTTGAACAGGCCGAGTCGCTGAGGACCGGTGGTACTTCTCTTACATTTTCCAAGAACGGTTGGAAAATTTTGGACGCTATTGGTGTGGGAACTGACCTCAGGCCCCAATTCCTCCAAATTCAAGGGTATATGTTTGGTTGTTGTATTTACAAAATTAGTGGAGAATAATAAATTGATTGTGTTAGCCTGAGATTTGGCAGCAATTGTCCATGTCGGGAGGCCCCGTGTACTGAATGCACTATAAGACTAGGGTTTGTGCTTTTCCTGACACTAATTGATTTTAGGATAACTGGTAGCGCCTGATGTCGGTCCAGATTCGTCTACTATCATTAGGATTAGATTGCACTGAACTGAAATTTGAGATATCGTGTTACTCAATTGGATAATTTTGAAACTATCTAACAGCTTAAGTACAAGTAATATAGTTGAAGGCAGTACATATTTATGTTCTAATAATAATGTAGGGAATATTACATTTTGTATCCGTTATCTTCTCCTCTATTTCAAATTCAAGCTCTTCACAGCTCAGCACTCGTCTAATTTAAGCCCTCGTGTTTATATAAAATGTTCTAGGTTGTTTGAACTTCGTTAAGCTGTGATAAAAAAATGCTGAAATTGTATGTATGTGAGCATTTAATTGTTTAATTTGTATGTCATAATTAACATGTTGGTAAGATATCTATGTTGGTATCTCTAAACTATTGCATATTACCAGCTGTGCAGGATAGTGATGAAATCCGAAGATGGAAGAGAATTGCGCTCTTTCAATTTCAAAGACGAGGATCAAACGTAATTTCATTCTTCTTCATTACATATACATATTTTGTTGAAGCTTACTTGGTGTTACGTGGTTTGGTATTTCAACACTTAATTAATGCATTTGCAAGCAGTCAAGAGATGCGTGCTGTAGAAAGGAGAATTCTGCTCGAGACACTTGCTAATCAGCTGCCGACAAACGCGATTTCATTCTCATCGAAGCTCAAAAACATTGAAATAACCGATAACAACGAGACCATTCTCAAACTCGAGGGTGATTCTCATATATCTGCCAAGGTATCTTCTTCGTCTCTTATAGTGCTAAATTATTGTACATATTTTAGTTGGATCTTTATTAAAATGCAACTCTTTCGGTTGTTAGATTGTTATTGCATGTGACGGTATACGATCTCCGGTGGCGAAATGGATGGGGTTTTCAGAACCGAGATACGTGGGTTATTGTGCTATTCGTGGGCTCGGATCTTATCCAAATGGGAAACAATTTGACCCTAAAGTAACTTATATATACGGTAGAGGTGTACGTGCTGCATATGTGCCCGTTTCTCCTACTAAGGTCTATTGGTTTGTCTGCTTCAACTCCCCATCTCCGGGTATACATGCAATTTCTTCTCTTGAATAAATATCACTAATTGCATAGTAGATTTCAATCAGGGAAAATTACGGTTTTCATCCCTCAAGTTTGCACAGATTTCACATTTGGTCCCCATGTTCATAAAAAAACACATTTGATCCCTAATGTTTCAATAATGTTACTGTTTTAGTTATTTATGTCAATTTACCGTTAGTCCGTCAGTGCACTGATGGACACACACTTGATTCCGTTAGTACTACCAGAAAATTGAGATAAATGAAAATGTTGAATTTTTGAAACATGAGGGACTAAATCAATTTTTTTTGTTAACAAGGAGGACCAAAAGTGAAATCGAGGTAAACTTAAGGGACGAAAAAAACGTATTCCTCCCATTTTTACCATATTGGCACATTTTAAAACATATTATGTTCATGTTATGATGTCGAAACTGCTTAATGCTTGTTACATTTATTTTCTAAAAACATGTGATCTCAGGTCCGAAGATAACGGATCCATCAATTCTGAGGGAAGAAGCCGTAAAATTGGTTAAAAACTGGCCAAAGGAGCTTCTAAATGTAATTGAATCAACGCCAGATGATACAATAATAAGAACACCACTTGTAGACAGGTGGCTTTGGCCAGGGCTAAGCCCTCCTCCTTCAAAAGGGAACGTTGTACTTGTGGGTGACGCATGGCATCCAATGACACCGAATCTAGGTCAAGGTGCGTGTTGTGCACTCGAAGATGCTGTCGTTTTAGCCAAGAAAGTGGCACAGTCGTTGAAATTCGGAAACCTCACAGTCGAAGATGTGTTTAGGTCTTACGCGGACGAAAGGTGGCAGAGAATATTCCCATTAACGGTGCGTGCGAATCTTGCAGGCGGTCTACTGCAGATGGATAATTCGGCGGTGTGTTCGTTCAGAAACAATATTCTCGTGCCTAAGTTGATTAGGCTTGGCCCGATGCTGGAACATACAAATTTTGATTTCGAGCCCCTAAACTTTGATTCGGTCTAGTATGTACTTGTTCCAAAAAAGTGAAAACTCGATTCTTGTATAGTATATATTCAATATAACACATTTTAATTTGCTTACTATCGTTATCGACACCAAACCAAGATAGCTATTTATATATGCAAGCCTGAAAAGTAATTCTATAAGAAGAAAGATAATTGAAAAATATATTCAGTGAAGGGGGGCCGCTATTGCTGATAGCACCATCACAAAAGTTATACATACGAATGAAACCGGTTATGGCTATAACGACGAACAATCAATTAAATAGTGTAAGGAAATAGGAGAAAAACTGGTACCAATCGTCTAAATCCTCAATCTGCCAGCAATATGGTCCCTTTTGTTAACCATTTCCACTGCCATAAGATAGAATAACGGCATCATTAGAAACTACCGAAAGTTCTTAAGTAAGATAATTCGATGAGCAAGAAGCAATGAGTTCGATATTAAGAAGAACGATAATGTTACATGGACTACTGAATCACTAGTCATTGAGCTTCACACAACACCTTGGAATATTTTAAACATTATAAACTTCAAGTTAAAAAATCCCTTGGAAATGATTCGATTAGTAGGTGATATCCCCTCGTAAAATCGTATCGTTTTCGGTATATACTAAGCGGGATACATAAATGATAAGAAAATCAAAGACCGATGACGAACATTTGATATTCGTAAGACGGTTCTATCAACTAATCAAGTCCTATCCAGAATGACAAACAAACTTCCGTGAATATCTCAATCACAGCAATAACTTGGCTACCAAATACAATATTGATAAACATCTGCATATTTATTTATCTATACACTAAATAAATATCAATCAAACACAAATCAAATGAGAATATAAAATCATGAATTCGACGATATATATTTGACAATCGAAGAACAACGAAATAAGAAGTACCTGGGGAAGAGAAAAACCATAAGATGACAGCGCAGAGAATAAGCAAAAGAGGGATGATGTGAACGGCGGCCTCCGCAGATCTGAGCCGACTCTTGTCCTTCTTTGCCACGTGTGATTCCGGGTTGTACGTCGGAAGCTGCTCTTCGGTGTCTGCCGCCGGTGATTGATTTGAGAAAAACTCGTCGGACACTCTGCTTGAGCTCACCGGCCGGTACATATTCGTCGGCGAAAAAGGGGGAATTGAATTGAATTGAATTGAATTGAGAAGAAGAGAGAGAGAGAGAGAGTTGAAGAGAAGAAGCTTTGATTATTTTTTGGGAAATTTCCTTAGTGTAGTTTGGTCGGCGGCACGATGTGGTTGTTGGTCACATTTCAAAAGCCTGTCATCGTTTGGCTGGCATGAGCCAGTGACAAAGGGCGTTTCTTGTTTTTTTCTATATATGTATATATATTTTTTTTCTAAGTAGAAAGGTCGTTTCTTGAATCTTGTTCTTTCAAAACAAAAAAAGGTACATGGTTATATATATATATATATTATTAAATCTTCAGTTTCTTTAAAATTTGAATTTTTTTGTCAATAGGTTAAAATCTACTATGCACGGAAACTTTTTCTACATACGTGTTTCCACGTTTTTGATACGTTTCAGTTGAAACGCCATGACGCCTGTCTGAAACGTTTCGATTCAGTTTCTTTAATTACTTCATAGTTTCGGGAATGTGAAATAATAGAAACGTCTTTCCACTTCAAAGAAATATAAAACATGTTTTGTTTTGAATAGAGACGTGTTATTTCCACCCTTAAAATACCTCATCTCACTACCAAATTAAATATATTTCCTATTTTACCAATTTCTTCTTCTTTCACCTATATTTGTTACAAATATATAAACCGTCTACCAATAAACTAATTACAATATTTATTAAAAAAAAAAAAAACCCCACCATTTTCATTGGAAATCCCATCCTCTCCACTTTAAGTGAATAATACTTCCATTAGAGTAAAAACATCTCTGAAGCTAAAAAGAGCAGAAATTCACGTTTTTTTAGAAATAAATTAAGAGTGCTTGTATGGAAGATCCTGAATTTCCCCTGAAATTGGCCTGATATGAAAGTTTTAATATCTTGTAGTAAATATTTTATTGCAAAAAATTAATAAAATTAAAAAAAATTAAAATTAAAATAATAAAATAAAATTGAAATAACTTAGAACACACGAGGATTAAGTGAATATAAGGAATGGTGGTGGATTATAAATTTAAGGGGTATCTATGACATTTTATAATCTTTGGTAGTGAATTGAGATACTTTGGAGGTGGAAATAGCACCACTCTTTAAATAATGTGAAATATAGGGGTGTGAACGAGCCGAGCTCGGCTGTTTTGGCCAGCTCGAGCTCGAGCTCGAGTCCATGTTACCAAGCTCGAGCTCATCGAGTTGATTTTTTTTTGGTTCGAGCTCGAGCTCGGGTTCATTTAGTTTTTTTTATCATTATTTAATTTTTTATTAAAAATTATTTATAGGAAAATACAAAAAAAAAAAAAAAATTATAAAATAAATAATGAACTCTAGTAGTATTTTTTTAATTCTTATATTATTATTATAATATTTTATATTATTATGAATTATCTAAGTAATATA